GGGGGGGGCATTGAGATAAACTCAACATTAATAGGTTAAATACTGCTACTGGCAATTAAGTGTTCAGACGAGCAGAAATAACATAATAAGGAGGGTGCAAAAATAAGACCTGCCAGTGGCACATACTGCCAACTATGATACTGGTCTGAGGAGGAAGTGAATGGTTACAAGAAAAAGTAACAGTGTTCACTCTACCAACCACAAAGCTAACCTTATCATAACCATGTGAGTTGATTACAGCTAAAACATCACCTGCACAACATTGTACTAATCGAAAAACGTCAATTTGTTAGGATTTGGCGTGTGAAAAAAGGGGAAAAAACTAAGCTATTGAAGGGCGTAAGTTCAGTAAAAAATGAGAACACTAAGGTATTGCATAGAAGACTATAGTATCCATAATATGTTGCTATATTTCTTATACATGTCAATAAAATAGTATGTGGTCTCTCAAATTCTTGAACTGGCGTACATGTACTATTCCAGCGTCAAGACTGACTCTAGATCTTCTGTCCCGAAGTGAACAAAATGAAGGAATCGTCACTTGGGCGTGTAGCACACATTTCCTCAACTCATTGATAGGGGAACTGTCCCTGTGTCACATTCAGGTGTTTAGTAAGTATTAACTCTTTGACAACGCGCATTCTTGTTATTCTAAAACGCTTGCAGATTTTGAGGCACTTTAAAAAATGGAGCATATTTTCATTATTAGAACAAATGTATTTTTCCGTTTCGTTTTCTTTATCTGAAACTTAAAAAGGCAGGCAATAACATGCATATGACAGAATGTGTACATTCTTCTTTCTAATTAGTATACTATAGTTGGAAATGTTCCTCAACACTGCCTTTAGTTTGCCACTCGTCGGGCTGAAGTATTAAAGAGTTAAGATAAGATAAGATAGATAAGATAGTACTTTATTATCCCAGAGGGAAATTTTCCTTGGCTGTACAGGACCGTAAAAACACAATATGCATGTATACATGAAACATTTAATATATATTACTCTCATTAAAATTCAATATGAAAGGAGAAGTAAAGCTGACAAAATGTACATTTCCATCAAATGCATCATTCAACCACAAGCAGGAATTTAAATACTAGACCTTTGGAGTTATATATAGATACATACTCTAAGAGCAACACACATCTATGTTCATTCTGACAAAAGTCTTTTGCTATGTGGTAAAAAACTTCTTTTATATCTTTCTTTCTTTGTTTTTGGAGGTACATATCTGCCGCTACGTGATCTTACAATTTGTGTGGAAAAGGGGTATGATGGGTCGTTTATAATGCTTTTCATCTTTTTTATACGTGTGGTGTTATACATTTCATCCATTCTATTAAAATCATATCCTGAGATCTTGCTGGCTTTCTTAATGGTTCGGTTAAAATTTTCTTTATCTTTCACCTTACAATTCCCACCCCGGCAGCAAATACAAAATAATAGTACACTTCCAATCACAGAATGGTAAAAAAGTTTTTAAAAAGGGACATAATCTTACTGTCAACACGGAAACTTTTTAGTTTCCTTAAAAGAAACATACTTTGATTTACTTTCTTATGCACAAGAGCAGCGTGGGGATGCCAGTCAATTGTTTGTTTGCTTATTTTTTGAGTAAAGAGAAGAGCATGCGGCGGCACTATAAACGTTCATTTAGTCTAGGAAAAGAGCAAGACAAACAGAACCAAATGAGGGGAAGAACAAAGGTACACTGTACCCTTAATTTGCTACAATTTTAAAAATAAAAAGGTACAGTTTTTCTTACAATAACCTTCAACCTTCTAGCAAAGAGGGAAATCTAACTTACCTAGAGAGTCACTTTTTTCCGAAAAAAAAGAGATTCAATTTTCTGATGAAAGACTGTTCTCTACATCTCAACTACCCCCTCCCTCCGCCCCCACACTATACCCAAACATTCTTACCTGTCCCTTGCTCCGCCGCGGTATTCTCTCCCCTCTCCCTACCCCCTCTCCCTCCCTC